GACTCAGGTGCAACCACATCTACTGTAAAGGCTTCATGCTTGCCTAATAAACCTGAACTCACTAATAAGACTATTACTTCAATTGGCGCATCAGTCGCCTGGGTCAAAGCCCCTACAATGCTCATTGCCCATGGGTGAAAGTTTTGTTCATTCCTTTTTATTTTTTGTATGTTGCCTGGTAAATTGACTAGGTAGAGATTTGATGTGCAAGAAGCACATTTCATTACAAGCATCTTATTATAGACCCAGTTAGGAAGAGTAACCCTCACAAAACAAAAAAAGAAGTCTCATATCACTCCCATGTTGAAAGAACTGCACTGGCTGCCTGTATCTTTCAGAATAAAGTCCTGCTAGTTTTTAAGGCTCTACATTCTGCAAATACCTTCTGTAAAATGCAGAAAACATGGAGAGGCCTCTTGAAGTTATCTTCGAAGTTATCTTCGATTCCACCTTCTTTAGACAGTCAAGCTCAGTGCACACTTTTAAGAAACATTAAGAAAATGTATCTCTTTAATTTAGCATTTAATTAAATTCCACCTCTTTAGGAATTTATGTTTTCAAGTAGCTTTGTCTGCCTTATATGTTTTTAATTGAATACTCATAATTTCTTCTATTAGTGTTAAGCTTTACTACCTGTCTGTAAAGCACTTTGAGATGCCACTGGGGTGAAGATAATAAAGTAATAAAGATAATTTTTTTTTATTCTTCTTAATATTAAAAGCATTTGAACATGATATGACCTTCACACGGGTCAAACTACACGGGTGAATCAGATGCCTAGCCTCCTACTCTTGGGAAGGTTACAAAAGGAGAATCACCTTTAGGAGTTCACTTTATTACTGGGCTTGAGTTAATCATAAGACAAACAGCCTACAGCAAGCACTTAAAAAGAGCCTCAAACCAGTTTTTCCGGATGCAAGTTAATGGGAGGGGAAAAACGGGAAATATTTTAACCATTGTTTTCTTTAAGCCCCCAAATAGGGCTCGATAAAAGACCATGCCTTTCCAAAGATTAGCAAGATAGACATATAGTACAGTACAATACAGTGCAAAAATCACAGAAAGTCAATGGGTGTTCCGGCTCTTTTCAGTGGGTCAGATCAGTTGGTTCAGTTTACAAATAAATGTCGGCTCTTTCAGCTCCCAAACAGCTCTTCATTCAGTCGTACTGACGGTTTTTTGCCCCCAAAATTAGCAAAGTTAACAACATTACCTATCATTTGATTTTCATTAAAACCTTTATCTACCTTCCTAATAACTACTTAATAATTGTGTTCTGTTTGTTATTTAATATAAAAAGTGTGGATGAGCAGTATCATTGGATGAATTTTGAGAGGCATTAACCAATAAACAGTTAACAACCAATGGTAGGTAAAAGTAAATATCTGAAAAACTAACAAGGCACACTAAGAAACACGGCTAAGAATGACATAAAACAACATAACCAGAGACAAACTAACACAGCAAGCGGTAGATTTGGGGATAATGAATGGGTGGAGCTGGAATGTTCCAGTGAGATCCAGAATGGCAGTCTTTTGATTTTCAGCTACAGCGTCATAAGATCTATTCATTGGTTTTGTCTTCCAATGTTTCAATGTTCCAATGTTCATGTAAATTAGGCAATTTTTTTGCTCAAACGACTAATAGACCGCTAATAGACCACCAAATCTGCCACTGTAGAACAATTTAAGTGACCACCCCAAAGTCCAGACCTCAACATCACTGACTGTGTTTGAGATTTCTTGGCTGGTGAGAAGCAAAAAACTTCTAAGACTGAACTTTGGAGATGTGGAAAAAATTCCCTGCATAATTCTTTGAAAAACTTAAAGCAAGTTACGAAAATAATAGAAGTTGTAATAAAGGCAAATAGTGGACACACTAAATACTGAAAACATTCAGATAAGTACTTAATGACAATTTTAACTGGAAATTAAATAAATGAAGGGTGGTCTCTGACTTTTGCACCATAATGTATTGGAAATTTTCACATAGTTTGAAAGTCTCCTATGGTGAAATGTTTAACTGAAGGCATATATGTCAGCTTGTATCTATACTGGTTGAACAAGCTTTTGCCTTAGAGCCTATACAGCCTGTCTCAGATTCAAGTGTGTTGAAACATGTTTAAGAAACCAGAGTCAACACTATATATAGTGAAGGAGGTCACAGGTTTTCTTATACCATATCGGAATGTCAGTGGGTTCATATTCCATTTGGTCGTCGAGAAGGAGGCTGGTTGGTTTGATGTGGCTATAGCATTGCACATGGGAAGTAAATCCATAAGACACAATATTTAGTAAGACTGTGGGCCTACTCATGATATACTCTCTTAGAAATAAAAATTCTGAATGTTTAGTTGGTGCAGAACATTATATGGTGGTCTTTAAATCCCTTACTCTGTACTCCTATTACATAAGTATGCCTCAGTCAGTTTGAATTGCTTTCCATGTAGTTACTGAGTAATAAGACTTATGATATAATAAGCCTGGGATTTAAACTTAAAAAGATTCTTAACACTGGCACATCCCATACACAAGAATGGTTCTTCAAAGAACCATCCATTTAAAAAGTGGTTTGTTCTAAAAGAACCCTTTTTGGTGCCTTTATTTTAAGAGTGCTGGTTATTTCTGATCACAGCCTGGACTACGTGTCAGCCTATGGTGAGAAAGCCAAGAAAGAGCCAAAAGAGTCAGTGCCAGTGCACGAGGGGTTTATTTGGAAATAAGCTATGTTATCAGTCCTGCACAGTTGTGACTATGCTGTAAACATCTGTGAAGGAGACCCGCCCCTGGGGCCTTTCATAATTACTGTAGCGGCTGCAACGGTCCAGCAGTGACAGGAAATACAGACGAGTTCTTATATTTCATAGCTCAAGCTTCGCTATGCATTCCCATAAATATTTCCACTCACATAGTGCTAATATGCCAACAAGAAAAGCTGACACATCTAAGTAAGCATACATTCAAGGACTGTAATGTTCTATCAGGCCTGTCAGACGCTGGTTATTTTCCATGAAGTTGTTATCAGCAAAAAAGGTCTGTGTTATCAAGATCACATATATGGTTATTTTTAACCCAACCAGACATCTCAGTCAGAGTGTCTTAATGAGACGATCAAATGTGCCGTGTTCATACTTTAACAGACGTCCTATTTAGACTACTAAAGTGAAATTCCGCCATGTTTTTGTTTTTTTTTTTACTTTAATTCTCTGGATAATGATGGGCTTACAAATGACACATTGCCTTTGATTAGTGGTCATCTCTTCTTAAAGGGAAAAGGTTGAGATATAAAGAAAGTCATTCAGAGTAGTTTATTGTGAAATGGTGCATTACCATTACTAAGATTTCTTATAGTGGTAGTGATAAGAACCAGGGGTTGCAATGTCTACATCATAAATAGAGCTATTTTGTGTGCTACCGAAAAAAACAACCAATGAACTACATGTGTCTTCTGAGTTATTATATATAATGTTGATGAAAAATCAGAAAAAATAAGTTTTCTCTGGGGATTCTTTTGCCATACCATGCTCTTCATGTACCCCTCTGCCATGATTTATCCCAAAACTATCAGAAAAATATGTCTCAGGCATTGGACAACGCACTTGTTACAATTTCATGTAATAACATTCTGTGAGGGAATATTTAGAGGCATTAAACACTTTGTCAAAACAATTTATACATGAAATTTGAAATATTGGTGGAATTTCCCTTTATAAAGAGATACCAACTGATAGCTGGTGTTCATTTGTAAGCCAAGGATTATCCAGAGCATTAAAGGTCGAACAAAATAGGATTATAACAAAAATCACCTTGGTGGTTTGACCCTGTATGATTAATAGTATAGATTTTTTGTTTCAATTTTGTTATTCTTTTTTTAAAATATAAATAATAGTCACACTCTTAAAAACAAACATTCTGAAATGGTTCTTGGCTGTCCTATGAGAAAATCTGGCTTATGGCAATATATTGATTTAAATATATGACAGATATTATAATTTATGGATTTCCTTTATATCCAACTTATACTAGTCACATATGGGCATACATGTGACATATATGCCAAATTATCTGAAATGTGGCCATTTTTAAAATACAGAACAGGAGAATGTTACCTCCCTGACTGCAGTTTGCTGACTGTAAAGTTTGGTGGAGGAGGGATAATGCTATGGAGTTCTTTTTCAGGGGTTGGCCTAGGCCCCTTAGTTCCAGTGAAGGGAAATATAAATGTTTCAGCAAATCAAGACATACTGGACAAATGTATACTTCCAACTTTGTGGGAACAGTTTGGGGAAGACCCTTTTCTGCTCCAGCATGACTGTGCCCCAGTGAGTGTGGTGTGGAAGAACTTCAATGGTCCTCACACAGCCCTGACGTCAACCCCATCAAACACCTTTGGGATGCACTAGAACAGCGATTGTGAGACAGACCCTCTTGTCCACCATCAGTGTCTGACTTCACAAACGCTCTTCTGGATGAATGGGCAAAAATTCCCACAGACACTCTCCAAAATCTTGTAGAAAGCTTCCCAGAAGAGTGGAAGCTGTTATATCTGCAAAGTGGGGACCGACTCCATATTAATGCCTATGGATTTAGAATGGGATGTCATAAAAGCCCCTGTAGGTCTAACATGCAGGTGTCCCAATACATGCCCATATAGTGTATATTATGCACATATTTCCAAAATTTGATAGTTATGCGTGATGTGGTGGTCCTTTAATCTTTGCAAATGATTTTCAAATTTTTAAAGGAGCACCAGTTGAAAAGTTGTTTAGGGAATCAAAAGTACTTCTTCACTGGCATCCCTCCAAATAAACCAGAGCACCCTTCTTTTGAAGAGTATAGTCTTCCATGGAACCAGCTATTGATTGTGGACTAAAGGTAGACAATCAAGGAAAGTAGGCTATAAAGGATCGAATGGAGAACAGAAAAACAGTGAACTCGTTTGGAAATGTGCCAAATGTTCTCATGGTATATGTTTTGATCCTGATAACGCCACTCAGCCTGTCTCGCAATGCTATTGGTTGCTCAGGCTGTGGACTCCGTATCTCTACAACGCCCCCAAAATGTACACATCAGGGGGAAAGTTGTGCTGTTGGCTTCAGGTCTTAATGCGTTAGAGAAACATGCTGAGGTTTAAAATGTTCTCGGATGTTTGACCAGCATCTGTGCGATTACTCGATTTTTACCTCAGACTGAAACGTCGCCGACTAAGATGACATTCTTTCGGCTGGATGACTTTTTGGCAGGATGGATTGGAGGTGAGTGCTTTTTTTGCAGCGTGTTTATTTCAGTCACTCTTTAGCTCGGCTGCTTATGGTCACGGAACCGGCGAATTGGAAAAGATAAAGAAATGAACGCGATTTTTTGCTCGACGTGCTTTGTTTAAAATGTGTGGTGGAAATGCAGAGCTAACGATGAACGAAGCTTAAGTCGGTTTCTTATTCGCCAGCTTCTTTTTCGATGTTTACTGGTCCACCTTAAATGGTGCAGCAGTTACGTTGTGGCGTCTGGCTGCCTGAGGCGCCGGAGTGTAACTGCTGCACCATTTAAGGTGGAACGGGAAAATCCGAGTGAGAAGCTGGCGAATAGGAAAGCCTCGTTTACGGTGACTGTTTCGAGTCCAAAAAACATCACAAATAACAAGTAACGGCTATCCACGGTCTATATATTGACCACGTTATATTGAACTCGGGCATGGTCGCCACTAGCCGTGATAAAAGTCTTCAAGTGATTTGGTGTAACGTTAGTTAAGCGGCAGCGAATGAAAAGCACAGCTTTATGATGTGATCGAGAGTCTCGCTCGCTTTTTCTGGAAAACCCTCCAAAGTTTGAAAAGGAAAAACTGAAAATAGAAACCACAGAAATGGTAAAGCGACAGGAGGTTTGAGGGGCGCTGCTGCACTTTGTTTACTTTACTTTTCTCCTCGTTTTCTTTGTAAATGCAAGGCACATAGCAGCAAACACTGTAATGCTAATGGAAGTGCAATAAGTCCCTTTCACTTTTAAAGGCCACTTCAGATTTTTTTCCCCGAGTCGTACAGGAGTCGCTAGGTTTCAAGTTTGTTTGCACTGCAGGTTGTTTTGGGGAGCCTGGCAGGGTCCAGGGGCTACCGGCCTTTGGCCAGCCTCAATAAAATCAAACCTCAGGGAGTGTCCAAGTTTGCTTGCTGGATTGCCAGTCTTTTTATTTGTCTGTGCATTCACCCTAAAACGCACAATGTATGGTATTCATCATAGAAGACAAAGTGGTATTCATGAGTCCGCCACTGGGCCGTCCACCCACAAAACTGTCATGAAAAACTGCTCGTCCTCTCCAATGGCTTGTGGTGCCCCCCTTAAAATAATTCAGCAGGTTTTTTTTTACACACAATGCTGCTTTCTTTTGTTTCAGGTGCATCCAGTGTGATTGTGGGACATCCACTTGACACAGTTAAGGTATCCAAACTCATTCTTTTACCAGAAAAAAAGAGGGAATATCTTGTTTCATGTGGGGAAAAAAGACTAAACTATCTTAAAACCACTGGGGTATTCAGTCCTGCTCCTGGAGATCTACTGCCCTGCAGAGTTGAGCTCCAACCCTTATCTAACACACCTGATCTGGGTAAAGATGATCTGAACTTTAGAGTCAGGTGTGTTGGATCTGAATTCTCCAGGGTGGTAGATCTCCAGGACCAGGTATGAGCACCTTGATCTAAGCAAATAGAAGACAGCTGTGATTTGAGTATTTTGTCCAGGGCGTATCCTTGTTAAATTGTTATTTAAATCTGTGCAGACACGTTTACAAGCAGGCAAAGGATACAAGAACACTATCCACTGTATTGTCACCATCTACAAAAAGGAAACCGTAAGTGAACAGCTACTGCTCTTTTGTATGAGCACTATGATAGCTTGGTCCTGGAATGTCCCTTGAGGTTTTTTGTTTCTCGTACTTAACATTCTTGTATCTGTACAGCAAGAACTGCCTGAAGAAAGCAGCTAACCGGTTCTTTCCTCGTCATACCTATCAATTTCTGCTCTTGCGTTAGGTTGCCGGCTTTTTCAAAGGCCTCTCCTTTCCCCTGGCTAGCATCACACTCTACAACTCGATGGTGTTTGGCTTCTTCAGCAATTCTCAGAGACTCATTAGCAAGCTTCGTTATGGTGACGGGAGACACCCTTCTGGTATGCTTGACCTGACTGTGGCCAGCATGATGACAGGCCTGGTATCAGTAGGCCTGGGAGCCCCTGTGGATCTAGTCAAAATCAGGCTGCAAATGCAAACACAACCAGTTCTTGCAGGTAGGTCTGAAATTCAAATGAGGTGAGCTATAGTATTTGGGTATACAGTCATATGCAAAAGTTTGGGGGCCCTTGGTCAGATTGCTTGTTTTGTTGATTTTCTAAGGGAGAATAAGAACACATCCTCAACAAAGAACAGCCTTCTGCACATTTTAATATAATAACTGTTTTATTTGCTGAATTTAATATATTGAAAAAAATTAAACATACAATGCAGTCTGTGCAAATGTTATGGCACATTTTATATTTTCTCAAATATATTCAACTTAGCAAATAAATTGAATTCGTGCACTAAAATATGCAGAAAAATTTAATATTTAAGTTTGTCCCCTGTAGGGAATTTGTTAACTTACAAAGCATTTAAATTGACTAGGGGCACCCAAACATTTGCATTCTATTGTATGTAAATGAAATGTTAGCTAAGATAGGGTTAAAAACAGTAGAGATGGTATATCAGTTTTGAAGGGTATCAGTATGGGGCCAGTATTAACAGAAGATGCTGAATCAGATATCGGAAAGGAAAACAGAGTGAATCTGATCCAAGCCTGTAACAAATCTATCCTGAAATAGCTCACTTACATTGAGATGGGATAGAAGAATGTTTGAGTAGTTTCAGCACGATAGCCTACTTCTAAATGCTCATCTTAAGTGAAGTACTTGAAATAAAATGGCTCATTTAGAGCAGTTTTTAAAGACTGGAATTGGTCTCAGCCAATAGGTCCAGGTTTCAATATTAGTATTTGAAAAGAAAATGTAGTATCAGACAATCTCTGCTTAGTAGATTTATTCACACTGTATTTCTTGTGTACAACTTGTCTCTGTTTCCAGAAAACGTCACCCTTGCTGGCAATGGCAGTGTCCCACTTCGGTCAGTGGGCCTGCAGGCCCAGTCTGTCTACAGAGGCCCCCTTCACTGTATCAGCAGCATCCTGCAGACTGAGGGAATCCAAGGGTTGTACAGAGGGGCAGGAGCCATGGTGCTGCGCGATGTGCCCGGTTATGCCCTTTATTTCATCCCATACACTTTATTCTGTGACTGGTTAAACCCTAATGGGAACAGCTCCCCTCACCCCTGCTCCATTTGGCTCGCTGGAGGATTAGCAGGTACATGAGGGTTTGTCACTAAATGTCTTCTCTGGACTGCATTGATTCAGGTTGTTTGTTCAATCATAAGAAGTGACACACAAGTGCACTATCAACTTGGAGAAACTCCAAGGACAGCTAGTGCAGTGCTAGCCCTGTGTGTATTTACTCAGGTGCCCCTGCTTTATTCTCTCCAAGTTCTAATGAGTGAAAAGATCACAGGATAATAAAGGCTCAGTGCAACTCTCTTCACTCACTTAGAAGAATCAAATCAGTGTGATTTTTACCAGTAAATCCCCAGGACCTCAACAACGGTCAATATTGTCGGCCCTACGAATATACTGGAAAAAATCATACTGATTGGTTAGTGCAGTTTTTAAATGCAGCACTACTAGTGAGTCTCTTTGTCAAAATATCATGAATCATATTGTTAATCATGAAAATGTCTTCAAGCATTGTGATGTAAGATTTTTGCCACATTGCCCACCCCTACACTCAAGTCCCACTCTGTCTTGTATGTGTCTTTTCCTTCAGGATCCATATCTTGGGTCACAGCAACACCAGCTGATGTGGTTAAGAGTCGATTGCAGGCAGACGCCATGCAGCACAGGAAATATAAAGGAATTGTCCATTGCATCATACAGAGTTACAAGACAGAGGGACTACATGTAAGTACACCAGACTAGACAGATAGACTTTAATGCCATGTCATCCCTGTGTTGTGCTGAAAGAGATTACTAGCAATGGCACATTGAGAGGCTTTTATTGTCGGCCCAGACAGGAAATGACCTGTAATGACATTGTTGCATAATAAAATAATCAGTAATGAAAAGTTCACCTTGCATAAATAGGAGAGATACTGGTCTGTATGTCTGTCTGAATGCCAGGTGGGCAGAGATCAATAAGGTCATGGAGTATACCAAATGAGAACATTGCACTTGATTTCTATTTTTTTATTTCTTCAGTGGACAGTTAAAAAAAGTAAAAAATTAGGCTAAGTTTTGGCTACTTTGGCTAACTTATTTCTTTGCAGGCTCAGCACACTTGAAATGCACATGTTTAGAGTACTGGATTGATGCACATTTACTCTGAGACTCCCAGTAATATATAGCATGTAACATTTCCAATGCAAAATCGGAAAACAAAAAAGTGTATATATAATGCATATATATATATATACACATCTATATGTGAAAATATGTATATAGCCCTATATAATTCTACAGTACTCCATAATTACAGTTGAATCTGTAGAAACCCTAACCCTAAAATATAAAAAATTGAATCTAATATTCAGAATTGAAAGCCATATTAAGCCTGAGGATATGTGTATCATTACTTCCCTACTCATAACTCTTGAATCCTATTTGCATATCTTCAAAACATGAAATATAACCTTCAGGTTTACTACTGCATAATTACTAGACTATAGCTGTGATTGGTATACCATGTGACTTGAATATGGATTGAACTGTTTTTAACTATTTATTCACTTGTTCCCTAATTCAGGTTTTCTTCCGCGGTGCAACGGTGAATGCTGTCAGAGGATTTCCCATGAGTGCTACTATGTTCCTGGGTTATGAACTTTCCCTCAAGTTTTTCCGAAGCCTGTAACAACCTTCCAGAACTCCACTTAACACTGAGACTGACTAGTTCTTAATGTGGATAATATTCATCTATTATTTTACTGTTTACAAATCTGCATGTGGGTTAGCTAGTTGATACTCTGCTATGGTATCAGTTACATTTTCGCTTATTTCTTATATTAAGAAAGAGGAAACACATGAATTAGTCATGGTTTACAGGTGTTAACAGAGGTTTTACTAGACTATTTTAATGTATCTATATTTAGAGTTGATTTCCAAAATTTTTGTTTTACTTATGGTAACATGATTTCACTTTAAACATTGATACTGGCTTTGAAAAAATGGCCACTATCAGTCAACAGTTCACATATCTTAAGATGCTGTGCAATATTTTATCATTTGTAGATAACCAGATTCAAGCTTGAGATGTTTGTTGAGATGTTTATATTATTAATATCATGCATATATGGAAATACAGTCAATTGCATTCCATAAAGAAAAGTATAGCAAACAAATGTAGTGTTTTGCCTAAACCTGTGGAAAATGTCTTTTTCTGCACTAAATGTGATCTTTCAGCTGCAGTAGCTGCACAGATAAAGCTGTTTTAGAAAAACATGACTGTTATCAACAAACAAATGGACATTGCAACATGGATTATAGATTTTAGATTCCAAAAAAGAAAAACTTTAAACTTTTTTTTTCAATTAGTCAGTCATTCCATACACAGAACCCTGCAAAATGAGGTTAATCATTGATCAGGTTGTTTGCTAAATGTGAAGTTCACATGCCTTTATCGATCAAAGGTTTAATTATTCATATAACCTAAATTTGCATTAAAAAATCCAGGACAACAGAATGTCGGGGACAGAGCTGCATCTCTGACTTGCATAATCATCAGCTTTGTTCGAACATTAGCTTCTTTGTGCTTTCAGCAAGCAAAAGCAAATTCAGGACGTCTTTCAGATATCAGCTACACACTCCTGCAGAATCATAATGAGATGAGAACAGATGCAATCAAAATGGCAAAATTAATCAAGGAAATTGTTCTGTTTGTTGAATATCATTCCTATAGCAGAAAAACACTCCACCAATTTAATAGCAGAGTGACTGGCTGAAGGGTTTTCTTGGTCTCTTAAGTTAATGCTGCATTGAAGCGCGCTTAAAAACACATTCCTTTGTAGCTTTGTACCTAGCTGCACTCCACCGTTCTATAGAATGGGCAATATATTATTATATATTATGATATATTGTTAACTCTACATGCTCAGCATTACACCAACGTTTAGCCATGTTTGTAGTGAACATGAAAAACTCAAACATGTACTTGCGGCCTAAATGAGAACTCTCTTAGCCTTTCCTTTAGAGTACAAAGCAAATCAGTTCGGATTAGTATGTGCTTTTGCACTTAAAGGGGAATTCCACCAATTTTTAAAATTTCTGCATAGTTGAGTCATTGAGATATAAACAGTCATTCAGAGTATTTTGATGTGAAGCCCTATGTTGCTGTCTAATTAATATTTAAATATATGGACTATTTACAGGGAAATTCCACCCATTTTCCAAATTTATGCACATTTAAATTGTTGAGCTGTAAGCAGTCATTCAGAGTGGTTTGGTGTGAAATGGTTAGTTGTAGAGAAAATTGTTGACTTGGATTTCTCCATAATGGTGGTGGGAGGAACCAGGGGAGACCATGCCTACAACACAAATATACCTGTTTTATTTAGTATTCAGAACTACCCGTGAAATTCTTGAGTTCTTATGAGTTTTTATATGTAATGTTGATGATGGTAAAATAGTGGTAAATCTGATGTAAATCACAGTTTTCTATGAGGACTATTTTGCTGTAAAACACCCAGTGTTATCCTCTACACCATGTATGGGTTTTAACTTCTTAACTTCTTAAGGCCAGGGCCTGCTGGCGGGCCCCAATAATAATAATAATGAAAGTGAAAGTAAAAGTAATAGTAATATTCCAGTAAAAAACAAAGGGGAAAAAAAAAAAAAAATAGTTAAACGCTGACATAAAGAAATATGTTTTTAACTGTTTTTAAAAACATTGTCAGAAGGAGCCTCACGGATGTTTTTTGGTAATGTGTTCCAGATCCTTGGGGCAAAAAAACAGCACCCTGCCTCTCCACTATTTTTAAGTTGTATACATGGAATATGGAGAAGGCAGCACTGGATGATCTTAAAGCTCAATTTGGAACATAATCTATCAGGAAATGTATGAAGGTCCGATTGTATTAAGCGATTTAGAAACTAGAAGTAAATTTTTATAGTTGATTCTAAAAGAGACAGGCAGCCAGTTGAGTAATGCTAAAACTGGTCTAATATGATCTTGTTTCTGGTCTGGGTTAATATTCTTGCAAAGTTTTATTACACAATTTAATACCCTAAAAATAGCTCAACCCGTTTGCATTGAAGTCTCTTTAGTTACAGAATAATAAGATTAATGTATGTAATAAGTCTGGGATTTCAAGGGGTTTAAAATGTCTAATGTAATAACTTTCACTGAGGGAGGCATTAAACACTTCATATGTCTGGTTCCTATCATCACCACTGTGAATAATTCTAACTAAATAAGTTTCACTAGAACAGAGCATTTCACATCACACCACTCCAATGGCTTTGTTTACAGACATGGTATCTTGTTTATTTGCAACTAACATTGCATCAGTTCACAGTAATATGTGTATAGAATATTATAGACATGGAAAGGAAGAAAGGGAAAAAAAACTTTATTTGTTTTGGAGGGGGCAAAAGGTCTTAGACCATCTTAGAACATGTTATGCAAAGTTGTTTATCCATAAGCCATTATAAAAAAACACTATTAGAATAAATAAAAGTAAACAAATAAACCATACATTGAAGTTTTATGCATGTCACTGTGTTGTGTCGGACCTCTCCTCAAGGTAGCCCAGTATTTACAGATACCATCTAATACCTAGTTTATCTAAACAACACCTCATTAAATTAAATCAGGAGAGGTGCTGATGGAATTGAATCAATACATGTGATGGCTGGAGTGCAGCAAGAAGTCAGAAACCTTCCTCATCAACTTCTAATAAAGACATTAATGACTTACAAACAAGCAATTCTTGTTACTTCTACTGTATGAATATTTATGTGTTTATACTGATGTTATTTGTGTTTTAATAGGCAGGAGCACACTTATTGTTATGATAAATAGCTTTCATCAGTTTTAATGATTCCCTAAGAGGATCCTTGCAGAGAACCCAAGAATTTATGTGATGTTGCTGAATTAAGAAGTTTTTGGTAAGGAAGTTCTTCCTGACTCTTTAACTAACAAGCCAGCAGAAACAAAAAGGTCCATTTGAACAGAGTTGGCTGATGTCAGTGAAAATTCCAAGCAGTTTAAACAAACACATTGCAATTACATTAACAGATACTTTGTGTATTTCTATTTTATTTTGAACATCCAAATGCTGCTTTGAAGTCAGCACTACATGCTGTTATTTCTTTATACTCAAGGCAGTTAAGTTTAAAACCACAATCTGGAATTTGTGTTCACATATGTTGGCAATAATCATAAAACCAAAGGGAGTTCTGTGCGTTTGTGAATGTTCATAAACATAGTTGCAAATGAAAAACGGATACTGGGCCTCTGGGAAGGAGAACTTTGGGAAAAGACCGTTGACAGTGATTTGTGACAAGATTGTAACCAACATTAAGGTCACTCAGAGTAAGTTTTGACCCTTTCATAGGACCACTCTATATTCAGTAACTGCTGCACGTGGGATTATATCCTCTGGGAGATGATGAACTGGACAGCCACATTATATCCATCCACTAGACGGCGCCATTGCTTCTGAAACAAAAAATCAATACAGTATTCTATGCTCTGTCTGATAAGTGATGCATTTTTCTACACTAGAGGTCGGCAGTGTACTGTTAAAAAAAGGTGCCAGAAGTGGTTCTATGGAGGGAGCCACAGTATAACTACGTTTGGGTCCCTAAAGAATCGTTTTTTGTAGAGGAGCTATGAGGGAGTAAAGATGCTCCACATTAATGTTGCACGATGTATCGAATGTTTGATGCGTATTTAATACTACAGCATAATAATCAACTTTTAATTTATTTTCAAATCTTTCTATAACCTCTTAAAATCTCAGGCTTATTACATACTAAGGCTTATTATTCAGTAGCTACATGGACTACACTGCAAACTTTCAGTTATAGAAGTGTGTAGTAAAACTTTGTACCCACTGGTGGTCCTAGCTATTTAAGGAGTTAAATAGAGTGACACTATGTTATTCTGTCTGTAAGCAAATTATATTGTGCATGCGACTCAGATGTGCCTTATTATTAGCATATCTAAAATTTACAGATGAGCTTAATTCAGTAAAATATAGAGCTCATGTTTGTACAATCAACAGAAGATTTAACTAATCTTCTGCTTGTTTTAATACAGTATGATCAATATCAGGCTATACTGAGCCAGAGGGGAGAGCAGTCATTTGAAACACCACTTCTCAGTCGACTTCAAGACACTCAGGTGTATGGAGTGCTCACCTATAGCCAGAGCCAATTTGACAGGAGCCTGCTCAATTCTTATTTCTCTCATTACATCAAAAATATGACTGCAAAATGACAGAGGGCGCCTGCGAGCGAGTCCTCAATGAATGGAAGTGAATGGAACAAAACAGATAGTTTCTAATCCCTTGCCCAGGACCTTTCTTTCATTTTGGAAAGTAGAAGGATGTATTTCACTAAAAAAGCAATGAGAACTTCACAGTATATTTCCTTTTTTAACAGTAAATGAGTTTTGTGCAGCAGGACGCTAGCATTACTGCTACTGAGTGCTGATTGGTCGGTGAGCTGATCAGCTCATTGGCTTAAAGAAGCAGTTCGCGCTCACTGACTTATAACTCGAGTTCAAAAGCATCAAAAATACAACAACGGTGTTAAAATGTTTTATGCTGTTCTGTGTTCAGGAAATGAATTAATTCTTCTGTATAGAATGTTTAAGCCTTTACAAACTATTAACACACTGTGATTTTTGCTCAAATGCTCCACATCAAGGCCAGAAACATACTCAACGCAAGTACACAAATGCAAATGACAATGCTCGGTCAGTGTATTGCTCAGTCCTTCTGTACAAACTGATCGTGTGTTATGTTACTGTGGCGGTTAAAACACTCAGTACTGAAGGGGGCAATAGAGGACAAATCAGAGATCTACTGTTATTCCAACATCCTCAACAGCTAAACATGGACAAGTAGAGGAGAGTGAGCTGCTTTACCTCTTCTATTGGAACTGGTAGATGATAATGTTTTATTTTTCATGTTTATGTAAGCCATCTTTGCATGAGACTCAACTGCTCCTCTGCTATGGCAGTTGAGAAAGCACACTGGCGGTGTAAGACCGCTTGTAACACTCAGAATGCAGCTCACGTTTGCGTTGCGTTATGACATGCGCATGACACATTTTTAGACGCAACTGCACGCAAAACCCCGTCTACGTAGCTCAAAGCATCTGCATTTGCGTCCTTGTGTGAAGTATGTTTTGGGCCTAATCTATTCATTTTAGACTCGCTCGGGTGTGCCCTCTTGTGGTTTACAAACCCATAAGACGTGAGTGGCAGTTCTCCTCACTACAAATTCTCTGCTACAGCCACAGAACTAAAACGGCATTCTCCTGTACTACACACACTATAGTAATGAATGGACTTCTAATGGTAGTGTACTAGTTCTGACATACTGTTTAGTATGGTAGTATGCTGGAGCCTAAAAACTCATTAGCAGAGCCAATTAACATCTTAGTTTCAGCTGGGAGGTGGAACATTTCTCAAACAGTGAAGCCTTTCTGAGTTTACTGAGAGGAGCTGCAGCTCACTATTCCAGGAACAATGTTTTTACTGCAATACACGAACATGATTGAGCACAGTTTATGTTACTGTACTACACAAATGTACTAAATGTCAGTTTAAAGATGTCTTAAATGAGGACACTTTCACACCCATCTTGTCGTGGGCCTCGGTTCACTTCTCGTGAACCTGATTCAGTTCGCTGCTGGTGGGAACTCATTTTAAATGAATTAAACAAGAGAATTCAACACCAGAGAGTGCCTTTCTTAGTGCGTGTCAAAGCTGCACTGTCTGCAATCTTCCTGTTTTACTCTTTCCAAACACGCATATCGTTCTTGGAGTACGTGCTGATAATAACGACAGAGCACTAAAATAACTACAAAGATATGTGTTTGATTTTGGCACATGCATTGCAGAATGTATTTTTGGCCAAGCATTATTATATTTAAATTGGTAAATCAATCATAAAGAAACAGATATCAAGTAAGGTGTAAGCCTATTATTGTTGCTGTGATTGTGATACACATAAACGACTAGAGGAGAAAATCAAGCTCCACTTCTGCTTCAGATCTGAAAAATCCACAGGTGTTTCTGTCCATCCTTCCACTGTGAGAAGATAACTCAACACTATGGGTCTGAAAGGATGTGTAGCTGTCGAGAAGCCAGAGATGTGGGAAGGTGTTTTAATTTGGGGGTGCAAAAAAAAACGTGAATGATGACGTGCAAAATATTTGCCTTTATTTATTTGGTTATTCAGTTAATTTACATCAAACAGAGCATGTCATGCAGTGCTGCAATGAAGTGAGAGATAACATGAAATCGAGGATGAACATCCTCTTTCTGCTCTCTCGGTCTGGACAAATTGTATGCAAATGAGCCACCAATCAGACTGTTGATAATAATTGATTGTGTCATGCCCATAGCCACATGGTGTGATTTAGCACTGAAACGCACACAGAGCAGGAAGTAACGGTTGAAAAAACATTATTATTACAATAGCTGATTAGTTTAAAGTACATAAAACAGCCAGACTGCTTTGGGGCTCAGAACTGCCCTGTAACTCTGCCCAGGCTTTCTCTCTTTGAACCTCAAACTGCGAGTTTGAGCAACGCGCCCCCAAAGTGGTCACTCTGAAAATATGCCGTTTACTTAAACAGTGCGCATCTACTACAGATTTTT